ATTTTCCACTTATAGTGTCATATTGGCACTCAAAAAGTTTCAGATTTTGGTACATTTTGGATTTCAGATTTTCTCATCAGGGATGCTCAACCTGTACTAGCCCTCTCTAGCTACTGCCTTGTCTCCCTAACCCTTTACCGAGTCCAGCTTCATAAAGAGGTTAGGTCCTATGCCGTCATCTTCCATTTTGTCCTCAACACACTAAATGCAGCTTTCACTCTCAACATACTACAAAAACTGCTCTGTAGCCTGTAACCAGTAGTTTCTGTTCTGCAACGTGCAATGGAAACTCTTCAGTATTTCATTTGACCACTCAACAGCATTTGACAAAACTCACCACTCCTGCTTGAAACACTGTGTTTGTTGATTTTCCTGACATCACACTCTCCTGGCTTTCTGTCTACTCTTTGAGAGTTTCTTCGCTGTCTTCTTTGCCATCTTGGCTCCTTTTCAGCAGAAATTACTCAGGGCATCATTCTGTAATCTCTTATCTTTTGCATTTTCCTTTGACTTGGCTTCTGAAAATATTTTCATGTGGAATGATCACAAATCTATATTTACATTCAAAACCATAGTTCAAACTCCAGACTCATATCTGTGAATTTCACTCTTCTACTAGGACGTTTTATAGGACCCTGAAAATATGTTCTAACTGATCTCTCTACCTTCCTCCCAAATCCATGCTGAACTCTTCCTCCTCTTGGGTTTTGCTAGTTCTTCCATCTGAACACATCTGAACACAGCTCTTCACCTCTTCACCTGGCTAATGCCTACTCATCTTTTAGGTTTCCACTTAAATGTCACTTATTTCAAAAGGTCTCTTTAACCCTCTTAACCAAATTATACTATCTTATGGCACAAAATGGAACTTTAAATGGTCACATGTACTCCCTATTTTCTTTCAGAGTACATGTGACCATGGCTATTTAAAGTTGTATTTTAATTTGTGATCTTCTTGTTAAATGCTGGCTTCTTCCCTCTCTCATTAGGCTAGAAGCATTTCAGTGGGCCTTTTGCATTATTAATTCCCTCATCTCTTCAAATCTGCTCAAAGTTTATCTTTTCAGTGAGGCCTTGCCCGGTCTGTATGGAATTAAACTCAACTCTCCCCTGAACTCCCATCTCCCTTATCTTACTTTGGCTTTCCCCACCACTCTGCCCCTCCCACAAAACTTATAGACTTCTAACATTTCATATAATTTGCTGACTTATGTTTTTTAACTTGTGCTCTTCTCCCTACCCAAGAATGTATGCTTTATAAAGATTTCTTGTCTGTTTTGTTCAGTGATATATCCCAAATGCCTTCTACATGATAGAAGTTCAATAAATACTTGCCCAGTGAATTGAGGGGCTGTGTCTGTTTTGCTCCCCACCACACTGCAAGCTAATCAATTTCTGGGGAATTAAATTTCAGGTAGCATAAAATCTAAGATGAAGGATGGAGCAGAACACTGCCAGCACAGTGGGATTGCATATGTTATGAATGCATGAATGCTTCCAGATGATAAAGGCATATTTAATTTGGAATCTACAAAGTGGCCGTCATCTTCTGTATTGTTTTTTAAGCCCACAGTTAATCTTGCTTTTGCTTTCTTTCTTCACATGTTAAGAAGTTTTAAGAAATAATAATACAAATATAAGCTCTATGAGAGGAAAGACCATGTCCATATTTGTCCCTGGTGTGAGCTGATGTCTAAAGCCTTCTTCCTCGCACTTAGGAGGACCTTAATAAATACTTTAGGAATGAATGACTGACCTCCTGAGTGAATCTGTGCCATCAAGGGAAGATGGCAGCACCGGCAGTGGTGGAAAAAGCCAGGTCTCAGAATCATCAAGGGGACTGAGCTCTATTCCTGGCTCTACCATCTGAGAAATTTGGCAACTCTCCTGTGCCTACTTCTTCATCTATTGAGAGGGGGAAGCCAGGTGCTCCAGTTCAACTTCACTAGGTGATCTTTAAAATGGATCCTCCCGAGGTCAGAGACTGAGTTTGTCTTGTTCCATGATATGAAAACAAGGTCTAGATTATTGGGTTTGGCACATTGGGCCCTCAAGATTTTGTGGAATGAACTCTAAAATTCTTTCCAACGCTAACATTTTTCAGAAAAATAACAGGTCTCTTAAATAAATTGCCCTTTTTTTCTAAAGAAACGTATACACAGATTATTATCTTGCAAATATGTTAGGGCAGGGTGAAAGGGAAGTACACATAAAGAATAAATGGCCGTTTCTTCCTGGGGAGTTGGTGGCCTCTTGGGTTCTTTAGTCATATTTACAGAAACACTTTTGGCGCTTTATTTGAAACCTTTAACTCTGCGTGTGAGCACACCAAACTCCTGAGGAGCCACACTTGCACTGTGCTGCTTCTCTAGCAATTCCACGTTCTTGGCCTTCTTTCCCTGTCATTACGTAGTTTTGCAAGAAGAAGAACAACCGTTTCCCGTTTCCCAGCCCTTTCTTCCTCACCCATCCTCCACCTGCACCCCCTTCCCCATAAGCTGAAGAAATCCCTTGCTGGGACGACGCTAGTCGATGGGGGAGGTTGGGGAAAGGATGGCCCAGCCCTCAGCCGCCGTCCGCAGCGCCCTCAAAGGAGCCCCTGCCTACCACTTGCTGGGGACCGTCGGCTTTCCAGCTACCCTAGAAATGCGCTTGCGTATCAAAAAGAAGTCATCTTTTCTACCGTAAACTAGAGGCCGAGACCGCTTTGGGGGAGGAAATCTATGTGTTTACACTTTTTTCTTTTTTCTTTTTTTTTTCTTTTGCCCAGGAGCTGCTGCGGGAATTGATTGGCTCCCTAGAGCCCCTGACGCTGGGGCTGTCCCCCCGCCCCTCCCGCACCCCGCCCCCTCGCGCGGCCATCTGCTTCGCAGTCTGTCTCCCAGTCTCTCACTCGGCCCCTCTCCCCTCCGCCACTCACAGCCCCCGTCTCCCTCACCGCCACCCCCAGCGCCGGCTCCGCCTCTTCCCCCTCCCCCGGCCCCAGGCTCCGAATCTTCCCCGGCCGTTGCCAGGGAGACCAGCCGATACCAGGCAAATAGGCGTACGAGAAAGAAAAGGGGGGAAGCTACACGGCAGCCTGGTAACAAAGGAGCAATAAAAGCAGCCCCCAAATGGAGGGCTAAGGACGCGTCCGGGAGAAAACCCGAAAGCGAGCTAGCAGTCACCCCAATTTAAAATAGAAGGGGGATGCAGAGGAAGGGGTATGATTTACGTTGAGGGTGGGGGGAAATCAAGAGCTTTTGGGAATCGCCTGAATGGTGGTATCGGATCAGCCCAGTTGGCTTTTCAAGTTGGAACTGCTAATACAAGGGATTCGCGTCCATCCTGGCGGCTGGGGTCGTGGGCCAGGCCAGCGGGCTCCCTTAAGGGTAATAACACGTTTGTTGGCAAGATGCACTTCTACGGAAACGTCTTTACATCAGCTCTGGGGAATACGACCGTGGTCGAATAATGCATCTCAAGGAACTGGACAGTGAGAAGACGAAGCTTCACGTAACGATGTTCGGCTTGGTGATTTTCAAAGCAACGCTTGAACAAAGGGTTACTGGCTTGAACCAACCGTCTTTGTCACTCAGAATGTGACCTATTTCCCTGCAATGAGCAGAAAATAAAACTGTTTGAGAATTCAGAGCCAGCACAAGGAGAAATGAACCATTCCCTCGACTGCTTCTCACCTTCATAAGCGAAAGATTATTCCTTGCAGGCTCACCAAATGTAAAAGAGAGAAGGTGGTCTGATTTTGCCACGAGTGAAAACTTTGGGAAGAAAAATGTGGGTGTTAGTGGAATGCTTATTAAGCTGCTTCCTTGGTCCCCTTCACCTCCCATACTTTAAGTCAGTGCCTTGTCTCTCACGCACAAATAGCGTCTGGTACTTCGGTGGCAAGGAGTGCAGTGACAGATGGAGGTATCCTGTGTACCATTATAGAAGCTTTTCCTCTAACCCAAGTTAGACTTGGAGCGCTCAGGGATCTTGCTATATCTCAACATGAAGAACATTTCTCCTTAGAACTGTAATCCGGTTTAGAATGTCATCGTTGCTGCCTCCCTTCCTTCCAGGAGTACATTCGCCTGCGTGCGCACTCACACACTCACACGTTCAAAAAGAGTCCATCCGATTCTGGCAGTAGGCTGAAAACGATCCATATTGACGCGAATAACATCCCAACTGTAAATATGGATTCGTCTACTCGAGGCTGTGTCTCATTTCACCATAGAGGAAAATTATGTCATTTCGAACAGTGATAAAACGCGAAGTTTCGATCTTCTGTAAATGGCTCTCACTTTGAATTGTGGAGGAAAAAAATCACTAATTGGGAATAGCTAGAGAAGGGGGAATTTGGTGAGCGCCCAAGGCCAATCTCAAAATATTTTATTTCATGCCAGTGTGGGAGAGGGAAGGGAGTGTAGCTTCGCTGTTTGCCGCTTTTGCATTTTCCACATCTGGCCTACAGACCTAATTCTAAGTTGCAATCTCGCTTGATGAAATTCGATCTTCGTGATTTAAATACCTTTCAATTTGGGACGATTTAACCATTGCAGCAGTTGAAAAAACAAACCCTGCGCATTATCTGTGAAACCAATATGAAAAAAGAAAGAAAGCAAACATGCTACAAACACACAAATCGCAACCATTGTCTTTAACACTCGCATACACACACATACACATAAACAATCAACAAAGATGGGGGAGGGGAACGAGTGGAGAGAGACACACAGATACAGACCGACGAGAGTCAATGCGAGTCAAGTTAACGTTTTCTCCGCCCCTTTGCACAACTACCCCCCTCCCGCGTTAATTAATTCCAAACAAAGCAAGCCAATCAAGAAATGCATTATAATTTTCAAGCAGAGGGAGGCGAGTGGCATGTAGTTTTTAATTGATTTATTTATTTAGAGGACATTAATTCTCGTTCTGAGGCTGATTTTCAAACCGTTTGCAAAGCGCGGCTCCATTGTTCGCCGGGCGCGCAGGCCCCGCCCCCTGCTTTGTGTGCGGCGCGCGGATTGGCCGACGGGCGCGGGGGCCGCGTCAGCGCCCGCGAGCCCATTCATCTGTGCACTTGGGCGTTGGACCCCGCATCTTATTAGCAACCAGGGAGATTTCTCCATTTTCCTCTTGTCTACAGTGCGGCTACAAATCTGGGATTTTTTTATTACTTCTTTTTTTTTTCGAACTACACTTGGGCTCCTGTTTTTGTGCTCGACTTTTCCACCCTTTTTCCCTCCCTCGTGTGCTGCTGCTTTTTGATCTCTTCGACTAAAATTTTTTTAACCGGAGTGTATTTAATCGGTCTGTTCTGTCCTCTCCACCACCCCCACCCCCCTCCCTCCGGTGTGTGTGCCGTTGCCGCTGTTGCCGCCGCCGCTGCTGGTGCTGCTGCTCGCCCCGTCGTTACACCAACCCGAGGCTCTTTGTTTCCCCTCTTGGATCTGTTGAGTTTCTTTGTTGAAGAAGCCAGCATGGGTGCCCAGTTCTCCAAGACCGCAGCGAAGGGAGAAGCCGCCGCGGAGAGGCCCGGGGAGGCGGCTGTGGCCTCGTCGCCTTCCAAAGCGAACGGGCAGGTAAATTCTACCTGTGGTTGTGTCATTTCTTTGGTGTCTTTCTCTAGTCTCTATGCTTCTCCTTCCCTCCTGGTGGCTCTCAAGGCGCATTCGTGGACAGGAGTGTAGCCGATTCTAGTGTGAAAGTTGAATAGAAATGGATAGCCTAAATTTTGGATTTTTCATAGCAGGGGTCTCCCCTCACACTAAAGGAGTGGTTCCTTAGAATCCTGGAGAATTCTTGAGTAGACTGGAGGAAAGGAGTGATAAATCGTCTAAAATGGCGTGGTTTGGAGATTGGCAGAACGTGACTAGCTAGGTGCCCTCCCCACCACCCCAGCCAGGTTGCATTTGTGTTTGGGGGCACAATGGTGTTTGAGTAGCTCTCGTGTTTGTTGTCGAGGCTGGGTCGTCTTTGAGATTTCTGAACTGGTGGTGTGATTGTGGGGGGGGGGGAAGTCCGGGGAGGGGGACGCAACGGGGATGGTGGTGGAGAAAGGCGAGGAGGGAAGGGCTGTCTTATTGTATGTCGCGGCGGCGTGCCCTGAGTTCTTGGAAAGGTGACTGGCTGGGGCTGGACAGAGGGCTTCGGTACCTTTCGATGGGGCTTTCCCACTGTCCTGAATCTTTATATGTAGCTGTCTGTGGAATTACACACCCATTTTATTTTTAAATGGTATCTGTAGGGTGGGAACACTCGGTGGGTCCTTTAAGAGCCTTTCCAGATGGTCAAAAAGAGTCGGTTCGTGCATTTCGGTCAGGATTGCTCGTGTGCGTGGCGCCTCGACCACCCGCGGGGGGCCGCCCGGCGCTGCCCAGACCCAGGCAGATCGCCACGGTTGGGTGGACGCGAGAGGTCGGCCATGGGTGGCTGCTTCGCAAACACTGGGCACCCACCACGCCTCTTTTCCTAGAGAAGAGATCGTGTCGCTTCGTCTGCTCTAAACTACTGGGGAAAGCGAGGTCTGCCAAGGCTTTAAACCCGTTAAAAATGCAAAATGAGCCGCCGAGGCGAGCCCAGGCTTCGCAGAATCACAGGCGAAGGTGGGCGTGGAAGTAGAAGCGAGACCTCAGAAATAATGGGTTTCCCCCTGGCTGGTCGGTTTCAGCCCGACCGGGAGGCCAGGAAGCCACCTGAGCTTTGTTTGCGGGCTGTTGGGCTGCGCGATCCGGGCTCGGGGGCGCCTCGGCCCGCGGGCAGGGCCTGGCCAGGCAGGGCGGGGTGGCCCGGCGACTCCGCCCCTCCCCGCCCGCCTTCACCCAGAGCGGCGCGGTGGAGGCACAGCGCCCCCTGCCGGTCCCAAGGCCGTGGGCGGGCGCAGGGCTTCGGAGCGCCCAGCTCGGGCGCTTCTGGCTCTCTGGCTCGAGTGCTGTGGTCCCCCTGGGAATTCCTGGTATTTTGAAGAGGCCTTTATGTATTTAGGGCAAAAGAGGGATGTGTAACGTAAGCGCGGACCACCAGCTCTGGCTCTGTACCTTCTTCCAAAGGGTGTTTGCTGTGCCCAGTATTCTTTGGCACCTTTTTTCCACTGAAACCCCCATAAGGCGAGGGCTGGCAGGTTAGCCTTTGCTTGGTTCGTTTCAGACTTCGTCTTTAGGGCGCACTTGCTGAATGACTGGGGCCACTGCCGTATTTGGGGGCTACAGTCGTGCTTTTCGGGGTCTCCGAACAGCGGTGCCCATTTCCTCGTTCGTGGGGCTCTCGTCGGGGCCTCCACCCGCAGCTCCCCGTAACAGCAGGGGTGGGGTCTCGGTGGCCACAGGGGCCTTAGGGGCAAGCGGGCACTCCCGGTCCAGGGCTGGGGGCGGGAATGGCGGCAGCCCCCGCCGCTTCAGTGACGCTCCCGCTTTCTCTGCCCCTTAGGAGAATGGCCACGTGAAGGTAAACGGCGACGCTTCGCCCGCGGCCGCTGAGTCGGGCGCCAAGGAGGAGCTGCAGGCCAACGGCAGCGCCCCGGCCGCCGACAAGGAGGAGCCCGCGGCCGCGGGGAGCGGGGCGGCGTCGCCTGCCGCGGCGGAGAAAGATGAGCCGGCCGCCGCTGCCCCTGAGGCCGGGGCCAGCCCGGTAGAAAAGGAGGCCCCCGCGGAGGGCGAGGCTGCCGAGCCGGGCTCGCCCTCGGCCGCGGAGGGGGAGGCCGCGTCGGCCGCCTCCTCGACGTCTTCGCCCAAGGCCGAGGACGGTGCCACGCCCTCGCCCAGCAACGAGACCCCGAAAAAAAAAAAGAAGCGCTTTTCCTTCAAGAAGTCTTTCAAGCTGAGCGGCTTCTCCTTCAAGAAAAACAAGAAAGAGGCTGGAGAAGGCGGTGAGGCGGAGGCGCCCGCTGCCGAAGGCGTCAAGGACGAGGCCGCCGGGGGCGCCACAGCGGCCGCCGCCGAGGCGGGCGCAGCCTCCGGGGAGCAGGCAGCGGCGCCGGGCGAGGAGGCGGCCGCGGGCGAGGAGGGGGCGGCGGGTGGCGACCCGCAGGAAGCCAAGCCCGAAGAGGCCGCCGTCGCGCCAGAGAAGCCGCCCGCCAGCGAGGAGACCAAGGCCGCGGAGGAGCCCAGCAAGGCGGAGGAGAAGAAGGCCGAGGAGGCCGGGGCCAGCGCCGCCGCCTGTGAGGCCCCCTCCGCCGCCGGGCCCGGCGCGCCCCCGGAGCAGGAGGCCGCCCCCGCGGAGGAACCCGCGGGCGCCGCCGCCTCGTCAGCCTGCGCAGCCCCCTCACAGGAGGCCCAGCCCGAATGCAGTCCAGAAGCTCCCCCAGCGGAGGCGGCAGAGTAAAAGAGCAAGCTTTTGTGAGATAATCGAAGAACTTTTCTCCCCCCGTTTGTTTGTTGGAGTGGTGCCAGGTACTGGTTTTGGAGAACTTGTCTACAACCAGGGATTGATTTTAAAGATGTCTTTTTTTGTTTTACTTTTTTTTAAGCACCAAATTTTGGTTTTTTTCTCCCCTCCCCACAGATCCCATCTCAAATCATTCTGTTAACCACCATTCCAACAGGTCGAGGAGAGCTTAAACACCTTCTTCCTCTGCCTTGTTTCTCTTTTATTTTTTATTTTTTTGCATCAGTATTAATGTTTTTGCATACTTTGCATCTTTCTTCAAAAATGTAAACTTTCTTTGTCAATCTATGGACATGCCCATATATGAAGGAGATGGGTGGGTCAAAAAGGGATATCAAATGAAGTGATAGGGGTCACAATGGGGAAATCGGAGTGGTGCATAACATTGCCAAAATAATGTGCCACTAGAAATGGTATAAAGGCTGTCTTTTTTTTTTTTTTAAAGAAAAGTTATTACCATGTATTTTGTGAGGCAGGTTTACAACACTACAAGTCTTGACTAAGAAGGAAAAAGGAAAAAAAAAAAAAAACACCAATACCCAGATTTAAAAAAAAAGATCATAGTCTTAGGAGTTCATTTAAACCATAGGAACTTTTCACTTATCTCATGTTAGCTGTACCAGTCAGTGATTACGTAGAACTACAAGTTGTATAGGCTTTATTGTTTATTGCTGGTTTATGACCTTAATAAAGTGTAATTATGTATTACCAGCAGGGTGTTTTTAACTGTGACTATTGTATAAAAACAAATCTTGATATCCAGAAGCACATGAAGTTTGCAACTTTCCACCCTGCCCATTTTTGTAAAACTGCAGTCATCTTGGACCTTTTAAACACAAATTTTAAACTCAACAAAGCTGTGATAAGTGGAATGGTTACTGTTTATACTGTGGTATGTTTTTGATTACAGCAGATAATGCTTTCTTTTCCAGTCGTCTTTGAGAATAAAGGAAAAAAAATCTTCAGATGCAATGGTTTTGTGTAGCATCTTGTCTATCATGTTTTGTAAATACTGGAGAAGCTTTGACCAATTTGACTTAGAGATGGAATGTAACTTTGCTTACAAAAATTGCTATTAAACTCCTGCTTAAGGTGTTCTAATTTTCTGTGAGCACACTAAAAGCGAAAAATAAATGTGAATAAAATGTACAAATTTGTTGTGTTTCTTTATGTTCTAATAATGCTGAGACTTCTAGGTCTTAGGTTAATTTTTAGGAAGATCTTGCATGCCATCAAGAGTAAATTTTCTTGTGGTTCTTAATCTGAAACTTTCAAGCTCTGAAATTCATAATCCGCAGTGTCAAATTACGTTCAGGGAGATATTACAACATTCCATGACAAATCTGTTACCCTTTATTGGCTTTTAGTTTTCATTTAAGAATTGAACATAATTTTTATTGTAGTTATATAGCATGTCAGATTAAATCATTTAGAACGAAATGGGTGTGAACCTAAGACTATTTAAATGTCTTATAAAAAATTTCATGAAGCCATTTTCTTGTCATTCAGGCTCAGAAACAAATTTTAAACTGAGTAAGAGTCTATGGAGTCCATATTGCAGATGGGTCATGAAATGTGGCCAAATGTGTTTCAAAAATTGATGGTGTATTACCTGCTATTGTAATTGCTTAGTGCTTGGCTAATTTCCAAATTATTGCTTAATATGTTATATTTTAAGAAAACAGGTTTATGTAACAAAGTAATGGTGTTGAATGGATGATGTCAGTTCATGGGCCTTTAGCATAGTTTCAAGCACTTTTTTTTTTTTTTTGGAAGTGTGTTAGCATCTTGTTACTCAAAGGATAAGATAGACAATAATACTTCACTGCATATTAATAATCTTTACTATTTTACCTCCTCTGCTCCTTACCACCCGATAACTGGATGTCTTTTTCTTCACGGGATCCTAAACTGAATTGAATTTAAAAATATGTATCAAAAATCTTTATTTCATTGAATGAACATCTCTTTTGCTCTTTTTGAGCAGTGTGCAGTTTAGGGCTCATGATAAATCATTGAACCACATGTGTAACAACTGAATGCCAAATCTTAAACTCATTAGAAAAATAACAAATTCGCTTTTGACAAACACTCTTAATTGGAATAATAGATCAAAAATAGTGGTTCATGACCTTACCAAACACCCTTGCTACTAATAAAATCAAATAACACTTAGAAGGGTGTGTATTTTTAGTTACGGTTTCTTGATCTTGGAGGATGTTTGAAAGTTAAACATTGAATTTGGTAACCAAAGGACTGATTTATGGGTCTTTCCTATCTTAACCAACTTTTTCTTAGTTACCTGGATGGCCAACTACAGTGCCTGGTATGTAGTAGGACTCAGTAAAAAAGTGGATTTTTAAAAATAGCTCCCAAAGTGAATAGTCAAAAATCCTGTGTAGCAAACTATTATATATTGCTAAGTTTGTTCTTTTAACAGCTGGAATTTATTAAGATGCATTATTTTGATTTTCTTCACTGCCTAAAACACTTTGGGTGGTACTGATGGAGTTGGTGGGTTTTCCTCCAAGTGATTAAATGAAATTTGACATATCTTTTCATCCAAAGTTTTGTACATCATGTTTTCTAACAGAAAAAATGTTAATATGGCTTTTTTGTATTACTAAAAATAGCTTTGAGATTAAGGAAAAATAAATAACTCTTGTACAGTTCAGTATTGTCTATTAAATCTGTATTAGCAGTATGTATAATGGCATTTGCTGTGGTTACAAAATACTTCTGGGTTATAATAATCATTTGATCCAATTCCTATTGCTTGTAAAATAAAGTTTTACCAGTTGATATAATCAAGCCTGCTAAAATAGGATTTTTTTTACAAATTTTGTTTTAAAATGCAAGTATTTTTAGAGAAAGTTTTAAAATCTTAGGTGTTAAAGGTGAGCATTCAATTTAAAAGATTTAAATGATATGCTTGGCATTATAATTAACATATAAAATTATATCCATTGAAGGTGAGTTGTATGCCCCAAGCCAATTAAAAATTTTAATGATAGAACTTGATAATATCTTTGAGAAACAATGCAATATATGAATATAAACTTAATGTAACTTTGCAATTGAATTTAAGGATTTTGGGTACTTTTTGCAGCCATATATATATTATAATATATATATATAAAATATATATATATAAAATATATATATATGATATATATATATATATATATTTATTATTTATTTAGAGATGGGGTCTTACTATGTTGCCCAGTCTGGTCTTGAACTCTGGGCTTAAATAATCCTCCTGCCTAGGCCTCCCAAAGTTCTGGGATTATGGGCATCAGCCACCATGTGTCACTGGACATGCAGCCATATTTTTTAGATAGCTCCTTGACTGGTAGTTGGTAGGGGAGTATAGTTTAATGTAGCCTAAGTCAAGTTTGAAAATTTTTTTTAAGTATTTTAGAAGTCTATTAGCTTTAAATTCTCCACTGCAAATTGACCATTTTTTCCCTCTCCACATCCTATGAAAGTAGAGTGTGCCACACAGGAATTTTAACATGCTTTTAATCTGTAAATGTTCCAGTCCCTGTTGGGAATTCAATTTACAGCACTCTTTTAAAATTATATTCAAGTGTGCTCTTCTGAAAATGGAAAATAAATACTTTTAAAAGGTTAGGTGTGAATTTCAACAACTTTAGGATTTTCTATGTGTTTTCAATGTTTTAAAAGTATTCAATAGATAGGTGTAGTTGACTAAAACTGATGAGATCTTTTTTTTCTATTTTACCTTTATTCTAATAATATGCCAATCACTAATGAGTTATAAAAAGCAATCTTTTCAGTGTTAGTTATTTACATATGTTTTTCCTTTAAGTTGTAGGTAGGTAAAATTAAGATCAATTTTTTGTCTGGAATTTATTCAACCCAAAAGGTTTTCTGAAATTCCTCTTCCAGAGACATATATGGAAATGCACTTACTGTTTAGAGTTATGACTCATAATTAAGAAAAATGATAGGTTGATCTCTTGCCTAATACTTTGAATGATAATGACTTACTATAAGCCATACCTTTTCTCAAAAGATGAGGATTTGGCATCATTTAGAAAAACTGTCTTCTGGAAAATAGGCATTTTTTTTTTAATTCAAAAATCCTGTGTAGCAAACTATTATATATTGCTAAGTTTGTTCTTTTAACAGCTGGAATTTAAAAATACTTTGAATCTTAAAAGCATCAACTAAATTAATGAATAAACCTTTCAACACCACTGTAAGGGAAACCCCATATTTGGGTATCTAAGTTGTGTTTCATTCTTAAGAAAGAAAAAACACAAAACCCACAATTCTTTATAGATTTGTGATGAAAATGTGAATGAAACTTTCTTTTAAATTCTTGTTTAAGGGAGTTGAAATATGAATATTCAAAAATAAATTGGGTAACTTTTTATAGAATTCTGGGGTAGTTATGGGCTCTAACTCCACTTTTTTTTTTTTTTTTTTTTTTTGTGATGGGATCTCATTCTGATTGTCCAGGCTGGAGTGCAGTGGCCCAATTTTGGTTCACTGCAACCTCCTGGATTCAAGCATTCTCGTGCCTCAGCCTCCCAAATAGCTGGGATTATAGGCGGGCACCACCACGCCCAGCTAATTTTTGTGGTTCGCTATTTTGGCCAGGCTGGCCTTGAAGTTGGCTTCAAGCAATCCACCTACCTCAGCCTCCCAAAATTCTAGAATTAGAGGTGTGAGCCACCACACCCTGACAAAATAGATTATTTGTAAGCATTTTTTTTCAGGTCCTTGATAGAGGCTAAATGAAGTTAAATACACAGGCAAATGGAATAGTATGCCCTTAGAAATACAAGAAGAGGGAAAAAAAGTAAAATAACCTTTTATATTAAACAATTTAAATCTAAAGGATTTCATTTACAGATTATAATGTTGAGAAAGCTAAATTAATGTTTGCATTGATTCTTTATAATGCTTACTAATGTGCAGTGTTGAAATGCATTCAAGGAACAAGATAGTCAGCAATCCACTTCTACAGTATTTTGCTTTCTCTGTACCAGGGTATTCTCCCTCTTGCCTCCTTCATCCAGCTCAGTCCTCCAAACAGAAAATCCAGTCACCCCAAAATGCTGCAAAAGTCTGCTTGAAGAAATGTTTGGAAGGATACTTCAACTATAAAAATCATTATTCTGAGATTCTATGTTGACTTTACTTGATAAAGATAATTTTACAGGAGACAATCAAAATTACGGATGTGGAAAAGAGATATAATTACAAGAAGTCTAGATAAAAACATGACTTTCCAAAAACAATTTTTTTTCCTATTTCAATGCCTTAAAATTGTTTTAAAAACAAACTCTTGGATAACTTTGAAGCAGATTTCCGATTATAAATCTTTTTTTCTGTAACTATTTTAGGATGTATTTTTAGAAGATAAAGATTCAACAAAACCCACAGTACCATTACCACACCTGCAAAAATGAAAAATTTCTTGTTGACATTAATATCCAGCCAATGCACAAATTTCTCCAATAATCTTATTTTTTCCTCACATTTCGTTGATTTAAATCTGAATCCAAATAACATTCCGCGATAATTAATTTTATGTGTCAACTTAACTGGGCTAAGGGATAGCCAGATAGCTGATAAAAACATTTCTGGGTGGGTCTGTGAGAGAAATTTCAGAAGAGACTGGCATTTGAAGCAGTAAACTGAGTAGAGAAGAATCACCCTTATCAATACGGACAGACATCATCCAATCTGTTAAGGGTTCCAATAGAAGAAAAAGAGAGAAGGGCAAATTCTCTCCCTCTTTGAGCTGGGACATTCATCTTTTCCTGCACTCTGAAATCAGAGCATCAAGTTCTTGAGTTTCAGAGTCCAAGACTACATCAATGGTTCCAGTTTCTCTGGCCTTCAGACTCAGACTGCATTACAACATTGGCTTTTTTGGTTCTCCGGCTTGCAGATGGGGCGTTGTGGAACTTCTCACCTTCCATAATCACATGAGTTGACTCTCATGAAAAATTTCCTCTTATATATTCATATATATCCTCTTGGTTCTGTTTCTCTGGAGAACCGTAACACATAGCCATCAATTGCATCTGGTAAGCATATCTCTAAAGTGTCTTTATCCATGTCTTTATTTTTCCCTTGCAATTTATTTGTGCAAGAAACTAAATTGT